CTCTTAATATTACAATTATTCTTTGCCTTAAATGTTTTCTGCAATGCTCTCTATGCTCTGCATATCCTTAAAAGTAATTTGTTTTACTTTTTAATTCTTAATTGAGTTTGAGCGGATAAAAAAGAATTTCACGGCTGAAATTCTTATACTAATTTCATTCTTTGGTAATAGTGCATTAAATTCTTCCATTTTACTCACTGCATATAAAATAACTTACTCATGAAGATGAGTGTATGTAATTGATGGGCGAAGAATGTGATTGTGGAATTACAGTTGGACAGAAACCTGCTTTATCAATTAAATCAATCTAACCTTTCAAAAATAATCCAAAAAAAATATTTCAGAACCAATCGGACTTCAGCATGAAGGCACCAAAGCCGCCCGATAGGCCACTTGTTCCTTATATGCGTTATAGCCGCAAAATGTGGTCCAAGGTAATAGTTCTTAACAGGAGCGCTTGACTTCGTTTGTAAAATTTAACAAAATGTTTCTCCAGCTTTATGAGCAGATATTCCTAGTACTCAACTGGGATATGTATTTGACATTACATTCATGTTAACTTTTGGTTCGATTTAGTTAGAGCAGGAGAGTTGGAAAAGTTCAGAAATGTTTGATGAATCAGTTATAATTATAACCGTAACAATAGCCTATTTAAATGTTGATTTAGAGTCAAAACCACGAATTACGCATTTTTTCAAATGCGGTCATAGTTATAGCCAGTTTGGTTAACTCAGTCTCTGTTTTCCAAGGTTCGAGCTGAAAATCCGGATGCACAGCTATGGGATATCGGTAAGATCATCGGACAGATGTGGAGAGACATCTCAGACGCCGACAAGGCTGTATATCAGCATGAGTATGAAATAGAAAAGGTAATGTTTATCTTCTAACTTATAATAAAACATCACATCAAACAAATTCATTCTAGGCTGAGTACGAAAAAGCCTTCAAAGCTTATCAAAATTCTCATGCATACCAGCAGTACATCAATGCAAAGGTGACTTCCGTAGATATTTTTTTCAAATAACTTTTTCTTCTAAAGTTTCTCCTGTTATGAGCTAGGAAATCATTTAAGACACGCGCCAAAGCGAATGAGAAAACATCGCGTAGTC